TTACGGTACACTTGACGACACTTCTGGACATACAAGCCAACCTCTTTACGGTACACTTGATGACACTTCTGGACATACAAGCCAACCTCTTTACGGTACACTTGACGACACTTCTGGACATACAAGCCAACCTCTTTACGGTACACTTGATGACACTTCTGGACATACAAGCCAACCTCTTTACGGTACACTTGACGACACTTCTGGACATACAAGCCAGCCGTCTTTACGGTACACTTGACGACACTTCTGGACATGCAGGATGGCCGTCTTCACGACACGCTTGACGACACTTCTGGACATGCAGGATGGCCGTCTTTACGGTACACTTGACGACACTTCTGGACATACAAGCCAGCCGTCTTTACGGTACACTTGACGACACTTCTGGACATACAAGCCAGCCGTCTTTACGGTACACTTGACGACACTTCTGGACATACAAGCCAGCCGTCTTTACGGTACACTTGACGACACTTCTGGACATGCAGGATGGCTGTCTTTACGGTACACTTGACGACGCTTCTGGACATACAGGCCTGCCATCTTTACAGTGTGTTTGATAAATGTGACATCTTTTTTTTTAGAATACTCGAAGTTGAATAACCTCAGGTGTAATACAGATGGAAATATCGCCAAGATAAACAGATCTAAACACAAGTTATACGTTATGTTAATATTTCTAAGCTTGTGATTAAAAGTATTATTAATATCTTAAAATGATCATATTAATAATTCTTTAAATTCATTTTTACTTCTTTGTAGTGAAACTAATTATACTCATTTAATTATATGCAATGTAGACATCTGATTTATGTGTGGAACACAACAGTAGTAGTACTATCTATCAAATAATAACCTTTTAGACAACTGTCAAATTCATATAATTCTCTTTTAAATCAGCTATTGTTTCGTCTTATCGTGTCGAGGAAAATGAATTATGGAGCCTCTCATTCCACTAACCACCGGTAGATGGCGCTTGTAACGTTAATAATATCATTCCGCTAACCACCGGTAGATGGCGCTTGTCACGTTAATAATATTATTTTATTTTTGTAAGAAGTAAAAGCCGCACATTTCATCTAAGTAATAATAATAATAATGTCAGAATTTAGCAGTACGTAGCTTCTCATTATAGTAACTACAGACAGGCATCATTCGTGTGAACTTAATTATTCATAATTAATAATATTATTATATAATTATCATTCCACGTATCATATTGATAATACTGATGGTTATTATTATTATTGTAGCCTCTCATTCAACTAATTACGAGTAGATGTCGCTTTTGATGGCAGTATAATAATTTTAATATTAGTATTTATGAATTGTTGACTTCTAATTCTAGTTACCACCAGTAGATGTCACTTATGGTGGACGTAATAATTTTAATATTAGTATTTATTAATTGTTGACTTCTAATTTTAGTTACCACCAGTAGATGTCACTTATGGTGGCCGTAATAATTTTATTAGTATTTATTAATTGTTGACTTCTAATTCTAGTTACCACCAGTAGATATCTCTTGCGTCATCTTACTAATAATATTGCTTACCTTTTGATCCTAGTAATGACATATAAATATCGCTTGTTCAACTAAATATTTATTTTCCTATTAATAAGGCGTTTGTTATTTCTAACAGTGGACAAACAGCCGCCTTGTTTGGTATCCATTACATGCACATATTTCCTTCACAATTAAAACTAAGTTATATTTTAATGGCTGGAGACGGCTTGAATGGGTAATGAAGAAAAACTTTAATATAACAGCAAATGTACAACGTTTCGACAAGGTTTTGTCATCATTGGC